CGTTTCCAATCGTATTTTGCGGGGAGCCAGTTGGACTTGTGATCTGCTCAATTCCAAGTAGATTCCATGCAAATTCCAATCGGAATCCCTAAACTCAGCTGGTTCTAGGATGTGCCCAATTCCATTCAATTTCCCGTGGTACTTCCAGCCTATTTCTCATCCCAGGAACCCCAGACATCATTAAATTACTCCGAAGGTAAGACCCCGCATGAGAATATGTTCAGTTTACTCTTAGCCGTTTCCCCCGTCGCCCTGGCGGACATCTTCCTCTCGCCCTGAGCTCTGCTCTCTCCTCTTCCTCTTCCTTTCTATCTATCCTCCTCCCCTCCTTCTCCACCTCCTCCTCATCATCGCCCTCCCTCTACCCCTGCCCCACTCCTCATCCTCCTGCCGCTTCTCTGTGTGCACCTCCTTTTTCCCTGGTCGGGGCAAGCAAGTCGATTTTCCTCGGCGCCGTCGCCGCCTCGGCCAACGCGCGCGCGTTCGCCGACGGCTAGATCGCGAAGCCCCTCTGGGACAGACCCGCGGGCCATGCCTTTGGGACAACCCCGCGGGCCGCTGGGGCGCGAGGGCAGGCCGTCGGGACAACCCCGCGGGCCAGACCGTTGGGACAACCCCGCGGGCCTCAAGCTGCGCGCCGCGGCGCTCAGGCGGGAGGCAGCACGAAGCCAAGCCCCGCGGCGAGCTGATCGGCCTCATCCCTGGAGGTCTTCGCATTCTCATTGGGAACCTTGACCGCCTCCCGCAATGACGCCGGCGGCCCGCGCTCCAGAAACTCGCGCGAAACCGGCCGCAGGATCAGCACGTGGCGCGGGAGAGCATGACGTAGAAGTGCAGCCACCATTGGTCGTCCGACATGCCCGTGCGGCCAGCGTCTTCGTCCCTCGCGCAGTCGATGGTGACGCCCTTGCGCAGCGTCTGGCCCTGCGGCAGTGTGGATGTGAGGTAGGACGCGTGAGTCAAGGTGAACCCCGAGCGGCGCACAGCGTGCGGCCCTGAGCTCTGCCAGGTGAATTCTTGTTCGCCGGGCCTGAACATCAGCAAGCTCCGAGCCCGCGCCTCGGCCTGGCCGTCGTCGTCGGCGTTTTCGGCGCCCTGTCGCAGCACCTCGGCGACCTCCTGGTAGATCGGAGACTCCTTGAAGCCGTGCACCTGCAGCCAGATTCCCTGCGCTAGGAACCGGGGGCGAAGGAGCTGGCCTGCTTGACGAGGCTCCCGCATGAGATTTCTTCCATATTCAAGCTTGAGGAGCCCAAACAAAAGTGACGACAATTGCAGGTTGCCGATGACCCGCTCGGATTACCAACATGATGTGCGGGCCCCATAGGGAGAGGGGCTCCCGCCTGAGACTTCCTCGCGATTCACTTACAGACGAGGCTCCCGCCTGAAACCTCCTCCATATTTAAGCTTGAGGAGCCCATCAGTGACAACAGTTACAGGTTGCCGATGATCCGCTCGGATTGCCAACATGAGGTTCGGGCTCCATAGGGAGGGGTTCCCGTCTGCGACGTCTTCGAAATTCCTTCACTGACGAGGATCCCGCCTGAGACTTCCTCAATACTCAAGCCTGAGGAGCCCAAAAGTGACGACAGTTACAAGTTGCCGATGACCCGCCTCGGATTCGAACATAAAGTGCGAGTCCCATAGGGAGGAGGTTTCCGCTTGAGACTTCCTCGCGATTCACTCACAGACGAGGTTGCCGACTGAGAATTCTTCTGTCAATATTCAAGCTTGAGGAGCCCAAAAGTGACGACAATTGCAGGTTGCCGATGACCCGCCTCGGATTCGAACATAAAGTGCGGCCCCATAAACAGGGATTTCCCGCTTGACACTTCCTCGCGATTCGCTCACCGACGAGGCTCTCGCCTGAGACTTCCTCCATATTCACCCCCTCGGGAGCCCAAAGTGACAACAGTTCCACGGTTGGGACGACCTGCTCGGATTAATAACATAAGGTGCGTGCCCCATAGGGAGGAGGGTCCCGCCTGAGACTTCCTCGCGATTCGCTCACAGACGAGGCTCTCGCCTGAGTTTTCTTCCATATTCAAGCCTCAGCACCCCAAAAGTGACGATAGTTACAGGTTGCCGATGACCCGCTCGGATCAAAAAATGAAGCGCGGGCCCCATAGGGAGAGGGTTGCCGCCTGAGACATTCAGGCTTCAGCACCCCAAAAGTGATGACAGTTACACGATCCCGATGACCCGCTCGGATTGTAAAGACGAGGTGCGGGCCCCATGAGGGGAGGGTTCCCACCTGAGACTTCCTCGCAATTCACTCACAGACGAGGTTCCGGCGTGATACTTCCCCCATACTCAGGCTTCAGCACCCCAAAAGTGACGACAGTTACAGGATCCCGATGACCCGCTCGGATTGTAAAGATGAGGCGCGGGCCCCATAGGGAGATGAGTTCCCGCCTGAGACGCCCCCGCAATTCACTCACACACGAGGTTTCCGCTCGAGAGGTCTCCCATATTCAAGCTAGGGAGTGAGTGGTGACGAAGTGATGAGTGAGCGAGTGGTGATGAGGATGATGCTGGTGATGATGAGTGGTGGTGATGATGAGTGGCCGAATGATGATGATGATGTTGAAAAGGATGAGGAGGATAATGATGATGATTGATCGAATGATGAAGATGTTGTTGGTGATGAGGACGATCATGGTGTGAGTGTGAATGATTGTGATGGTGATGATGATGATGATAATGGTGGTGGTGACGATGGTGAGGATGATGATGAGTAGTGACGATGAGTGCTGCTGATGATGATGATGATGGTGAGTGAAGGAGAGAGGGGTGGGAGGTGAGGTGAGGTTCCTGCGCGAGGTGTCCAAAGAACACAAGAACCCCACTTTGGATGTGAGAAAAAACACTTGGTTAGCGACGTCAGGAATGCGGAAACATTACGTGTTCATGTGGATGTGTTGGGATTTCTGGGATGAGAAGTGAGGAAACCATGTCTTCATTTCGAATTTTCTGATTTTTGAGATTCCGGGGATCGGAGCTCCTGGGAGGTCTCCTGGGCTTGATGCTCGCTGAAGGGAAACCACAAGAGTTCAAAACATCCAAATGAAAACACATGGTTTCCTCGTTTCTCATCCCAGAAATCCTAAACATCTAAATGAAAACACATGGTTCCCCGCACCCCTGGCATCGCAACCCTTGGGTTTTCACAGAGGTTGTGTAGAGTGTCTGGGGCAGAGACAGAGACAGAGAGAGAGAAAGAAAAAAAAAAAAGAGGAGAGGTGGAACGAGAGAGAGAGAGAGAAAGAGAAGAGAGAAAGAGAAAGAGAGAGATAGCAAAAAAGTAAAATATATAAATCTATGTATATATAAATAAACAAAAAAGGCAACGAGGAAGAGACGGAAAGGAAGAGCACCACCGTCGTAGGTGAATGTTGGTAAGACGAGTGCTGGGGGGGGCTGCCCGTGTATATATATATATAGATATATACAATTACTGGGTACGTTTGTGTATATAAGCATATATGTATATATGTATACATATCTATATCGGAGGTGAGGGGGTGAGATCGAAGTGGAACGGAGAGCCCCCCTACCGGGAAATCGATTTCGGTTTCGTGTTCGTGCGTGCCGTGCGTGCGGGCGAGGCGAAGCTGCGTGGGCGGGCGAGAAGAAAGTCTCCTGTGGCTGAGGCGCGGCCGGACCAAATGTCTCCCTTCCGGGCGGCCGGGGCCCCGCGGTGTCCCGCCGGTGTCCCCCTGGTGTCCCCTGTGGCTGAGGCGCGGCCGGACCAAATGTCTCCCTTCCGGGCGGCCGGGGCCCCGCGGTGTCCCGCCGGTGTCCTGCTGGTGTCCCGCTGGTGTCCCGTCGGTTATGATGATGATGATGATGATGATGATGATGATGATGATGATGATGATGATGATGATGATGATGATGTTGACAACGATGATGATGAGGGTGATGATGATGGTGGTGATGATGGTGAGTTCGGTAGTGAGATCGATAGTGAGACCGAATGTGAGATCGATTGTGAGATCGATTGTGATATCGATAGTGAGGTCGATAGTGAGACCCAATGTGAGATCGATAGTGAGATCGATAGTGAGTTCGATAGTGAGATCGATAGTGAGACCGAATGTGAGATCGATTGTGATATTGATTGTGATATCGATAGTGAGATCGATAGTGAGATCGAACGAGAGGTCGATCATGACTTCGATAGTGAGTTCGATAGTGAGATCGATAGTCAGATCGATTGTGAGATCGATTGTGAGATCGATTGTCATATCGATAGTGAGATCGATAGTGAGACCGAATGTGAGATCGATCGAATGAGATCGATAGTGATATCGGTAGTGAGATCGATCGTGAGACCGAATGTGAGATCGATCGTGAGATCGATAGCCAGATCGATTGTGAGATCTATTGTGAGATCGAGTGTGAGATCGATAGCCAGATCGATTGTGAGATTGATCGAATGAGATCGATAATGAGATCGATAGCGAGATCGATAGTGAGATCGATCGAGTGCGACGGTGGTCCCCCCCCCCCTCGCCTCCTTATCACCCGAAGGGTGGTCTATGCGGTATATGTATGTATATGTATGTCTCTCTGTCTCCCTCTTCCCTTCTCTCTCTCTCTCTCTCTCTATTCAAAATCATCGCGGCCCAAGCCTGCACCAAGATTGCCGCCGCAGGAAGAGGAGGGAGGACGGAGGGGGAGCAGGAGGATGGCGTCCCTGCACACAGGGCCCTCCACGCGCCGACGCGGGCCGCCAGCCGCCCGAGCCAGGCGCTGGAAGATCGCGTGGTGGAAGCTCCAGATATGGACGGCGACCGGTCCGCTTCTGCTCGCCCCTGGCGTGTTGGAGGAGGACGACGACGACGATGATGAGGACAATGAGGACAACGACAACGACGAAGAAGGAACGAGAAGGGGGGAGAACGGAGGGATGAAGAGGGGGAAGAGGGTAAGGGAGTGAGGATGTGGTGGGGGCGGACGCTTCAATCGTGATTGTTCACGACGGTGTGATTCGTTCAGTCTCTTCTTCTTGATTGCCCACGGCGCGAATATTTTATCCCGCGGCCGTTCTGGCTCAAGGCCTCTGCTGTGCGCGCAGTGGAAGTCGTCACCCTAGCCTGCCGCACATGGCCGTCATCCACAGCTTAGCGCTGGTCCTACCACACTTGTTTCATGTGGCCGCTGTGAATAGTCTTTCACGGCTTTCTTCAGTGGCTGCCCGTGACACTCCCGCATCACAGCGTATCATGAATTTCAGCGAGCCCGGACTGTGCTACGCTGCGCCCATGAGCAGGACGTTCAGAAGGCATTGGGATCAAATCCAAGAAAATGTCGACCATGGGAAGCGGTTGGCCTTGGACAAGAAGGTGATATTTGCTGGCCTCGTGCGCAACGCGGAAAAGTTCGTGGTTAACAACTACGACATGTTGAGGCGTCTCGGCCTGCATTTCAAGGATTACCAGTTCCACATATTCGAGAGTGACTCTACTGATGACACTCCCTACGCTGTGAGCATTCCTTCTCCATGGGATGCCCGGTACAGTTTCCAGACTAGGGTTTTAAACATGTCGGACGAGCGAGGGTTGGAAAGGCCCAGAATGGAGCGGATGGCCACTCTGCGGAATATGGTCCGTGATTGGATCGAGGATTTTGTTAGCACGCGCCATGGTTGGGATTTGGTTGTTCAGTATGACTTCGATAATGCGTTCGCTCCGCGTGCCATTCCACCTCATGCGTTTTTTAACGCGTTGGGCCGGCAGGAGACTCGGAATGGAGACTGGGACATGCTTTGCGCTAACGGTCTGAGGCACCAATGCGGCAGCACAGAGTGCCAGGCTGGTCACTACGATTGTTCGGCTTTTCGGGATACGCAGTTCGATTCGCTCAATTCTGCTTGCCATAACGGCTTGGCCGAAAATATGTTCGCCCAGTACGACTTGGTGCCCGTACACTCGTGCTTCGGTGGGCTAGCCATGTACAACACGCAGAAGTTCTTGGAGAGGGGGGGGCTGGGAGGGCAGTGGGGGCGCGGCCAAGGACTCGCTTGGCCCGAGTATCGCTTCGCTGGTGCTTGCTTCGTCCGGCTCGCTTCCAATTGGAGCGGGCGGGCTGACCCAGACGGGCGGGCTGGACGGGCGGGACATTCAAGCGGTGGGCGAGTTTCTGAGCAAGCTAGCGGGCCGGCCCTAGCGAGCGGGTCACGCGGGCGGTCCCTGACGGGCGCGTCGGGCGGTCGGAACTTCCCGGGCGGGACGGCCAGTGGGACCCAAACGGGGAGTCGAGCGAGTAGGGTATTAAGGCGGGCGGGCGACACGAGTCAGGCGAAGCGAGCCAGGCGAAGCGAGCCGGGCGAAGCGAGGCTCGGGCGAAGCGAGCCAGGCGAAGCGGGTCGGTTAAAGCTATCTGGGCGGAATGAGTTGGTCGGAGTTCGGAGTGAGCCGAGAGAGGCGAGATTCAGAAGACGTTAGCCGGGCGAGACGAGACTCAGGAGAAGCGAACCATGCGAAGCGAGCCCGAAGGCAGCGAGTTTCGGGCGAAGCGAGTTCAGGCGAAACGAGTTGGGCAAGCGAGACCTTGGAGACGCGAGAGCTACTCCGAAGGGAGGGAGGAGGGCACGGGGAGGACTGCCACTACAACACGAGCGCGCACGACTCTGAGCACGTCGGGTTCCACAGCTGCATGCGCCAGCGAGGCAGCGACGGCCGCATGTTCATGGATCCGCTCCTGACGGTGATCGCCGACCCCATCACCCCACTGGTGTGCACCGCAGACGTCGCGGCCTTCTGAGCCGAGCGGCCGCACTGCGCTGCACGCGCCGCTGGCAGGCCTGACCACTGGAGGAGGAGGAGGAGGAGGAGGAGGAGGAGGAGGAGAAGAAAGAGAAGAAGGAGGAGAAGGAGGAGAAGGAGGAGAAGGAGGAGAAGGAGGAGGAAGAGGATGAGTCGTGCATGCTGTAGGGGAGCACAGCAAATCGAGCGGTGGTTCGCGCAGGCTGCGCTGGATCTCAAGGAATATCTGGAATTGGTCGTCGATTGAGGCGTCATCTATCCCTCCAGGACTCAGGCTCCTCGCCGCTCAGGCCACGTAGGTTCTACAGTCGGGGCCCTGAAGAAGGAACCCTTTTCGTTGGGGAGGGGCTCCGCGTTCCTTAAGTGTTTCACAGCTTGCCTCAGGTTTCCCCTTATGTGTCCGATAGGAAATCGAAGTTTAACTTATGGTAAAAAGGGGCCTCGTTCCTTATTTAGGGTTCCTTAGGTCAACGCCCCGACTGTACTCGACATGTGGGCCACCATGATACCGAGAGGAAGTCCCGAAGTACAATTGAAGGATGCGTCAATGACAGCGTTGTGTCTCGATCCACCCTGCTACTCTGGAGCCACGTCCCCGCGGTGTTTGGCACAGCGTAGAGTATCCCGACTTTGAGGTCATCAGTGGGCGCTCTTCGTCTTGCACCAAGGAACTACGTCTGCACAAGCAGTGTTCCGCTGCAGCCCCTCCTGGCATGATTGTGACACGGCGATGGTTATGGGGGGTCGAGGCCCTAGGTTGTTCATTATTGTCTGCTGCCCTGGCAGGCTTTCGAAGCTCAGGTGGAGTCAAGCTAGAGAAGGGGGGTATCATGGGAATCCCGCGTCCGTTGATGGTCGTTGCTTGTCTCCTCGTGTGTTCTCTGACATGGGAATCCAGGCTCGCGGGGTGTCTTTCAGACCATGCCGTCCTGTGCTGCCTTCCAGTTGCCTTCGGCAGGAATCTTACCCAGTACGAGAGGCTTATCTGGATGGACTCCGACGCCATCCTATACCGTAGTGCCCCCCGTGCATGCGATCATGTTGGGGCAGGAAATCGGAGGTAAGGGGGTGAGATCGCAGTGGAACGGAGAGCCCCCCACCGGGAAATCGGTTTCGGTTTCGTGTTCGTGTCGTGCGGGCGGGCGAGGCGAAGTTGCATGGACACGCAAGAGGACCCATGCCGCCGCAGCTAGAGGCCGTGGAGCCAGTTGTCCGCCCCTCCCCCCCCCGGCGCGCAGTGGCCAGGGGTAACCCGTCGTTGGCGCGTCGGTGTCCCGTCAGTGTCGCCGCCGTGGCTAGGGGCTGTGGAGCCGGTTGTCCGCCCCTCACCCCACCGGCGCGCGCTTGCCAGGGGGTGTCCCGTTGGTGGCGCGTCGGTGTCCCGTCGGTGCCCCGTCGGTGTCCCGTCGGTGTTCCTTGTCCCGGAGCGGGGCGGCGCGAGTCGGTGTCCCGAAGCAGGGCGGCGAGATCGATGGTGAGATCGTTTGGGAGACCATTCGTGAGATCCGTTGTGAGGTTGATAGTGAGATCGATGGTCAGATCGCTTGTGAGATCTATAGAGGGATCAACAGTGAGATCGATCATGAGTTCGATTGTGAGATCGAATGGTAGATCGATTTTGAGATTGATAGTGAGAACCGTTGTGAGTTCGATAGTGAGTCCGACTGTGAGATCGGTAGTGAGTTCGATTGTCAGATCGACGGAGAGATCGATAGTGGGATATGTTGCGAGGGCGACCATCGCCAACTAGAGGGCGCATCACCAGCATCGTCCTCATCACAACCATCAAGATTGTCATCAATTGGTTCTTCCCAAACACAAAGAACGCCTTATAACCCGAAGGGTGGTCGTATAGGTACTGTCCCGTCCACGCGCCTGCGTGGATTAACGTTGACTTTTGCAGCATGAATAAGCACATGTATCCCCAGCTGGCTCGTGTCCTTGATTGAGCTTGGGACGACTCTGAACTGATACTTCGAGGCGGATTCAAACAAATAATATCGAGATACTGATATTGCAGACAGGGCTACGGCTGTTTCTACGAACGGCACGGATGTGAATCAGGGAGGCAGTCCTAGAGGAGCGAGCTTCACCCATGCGTAGACTCACAGGCTGACCTCTCGCCTCACATCACATGGCAGGCATGTCGTGGACAGGGAAGCGGGCTTCAGCACGGTTTTAGTTTCGTCATTGGTTGGAGGCATTTCCAAAATTAGGCTCTACATCGGAGGTTGGGGGGTGAGATCGATATTGAACGGAGAGCACCCCGCCGGCAAATCGGTTTCGGTTACGGGTTCGTGTTGTGCGTGCGGGCGAGGCGAAGTTGCGTGGGCGGGCGAGAGGAATGAACCCTCCTCTGGCTAGGGCGCGGCGAGGACAGAAGACAGTGAACCGGAGACTGTGACCATCACCAGCACCGTGGTCGTCATCATTCCAGCGTCGTCACAATCACAATCTTCGCAGTTGTCATCAGTTGGTTCTTTCCCCCACCCAACCTCCTCATCACCCGAAGGGTTGTCGTATATGAAAACGTTTATGGACTGTGGTATGCAGTACGGTTGGCGGGCGGTAAGTCTCTCGTTCTTGAGTTTCCCGAGGAGGGAGAGGCGGACGAAAATGGGGGGAGGAGAATCCTTCCCCCAGGATCCTTAAGAATGTGTTCCCAGGTTTTCTGCTGACATGTTTCCCCCATGTGCGGTTCCTTGGGTCTTCCAGTGATCTACTTTCAGCTTGCTTTGAGCGTGCATTCGGTTTATCTGTTGCGTACTTCCATCATGCTTCCAGCTTGCATTCAGCTTGCATTTAGCGTGCCTGTAGCTCATTTGTACCTTGCCTTTCGGCGTGCATGTATTGCCTTCAGCTGGACTCTAATTTGTGCCTTTTTACCTTGCCTGGGACCCTCCCTTCGGATGCGAGAGGCCCCTAATTGGGGCCGCGCCAGATTCAGTCGAAGCAGTCGTTCGCACGGCGTTACTTTCGCGAGTTATGCAGGTAACTTCTGGGAGATTGTTCGATGTATGTCCATCCGAGGTTGGTGGGTGAGTCCGACGTGAAACGGAGACCCCCCCTACCGGGAAATCGATTTCGGTTTCGGGTTCGTGTCGTGCGTGCTATGCGTGCGTGCGGGCGAGGCGAAGCTGCGTGGGCGGGCGAGAGGAAATCCTCGTGTGGCTGGGCCGCGGCCGGACCAAATGACTCCGTTCTGGCAGCCGGTGGTCCGCGGTGTCCCGCCGGTGTCCCGTTGGTGTCCCGAAATCCTCCTGTGGCTGGCCCGCGGTGTCCCGCCGATGTCCCGCTGGTGTCCCGAAATCCTCCAACAATCACCACTTTTGTCCATTGCTCCCCCCCAAACCTTCTTATCACCCGCAGGGTGGTCGTACAGGTATATCGGAAATGAGGGGGTGAGATCAAAGTGGAAAGCAGAGCCACTACCGGGAAATCGGTTTCGGTTTCGTGTTCGTGCGTGCCGTGCGTGCGGGCGAGGCGAAGCTGCGTGGGCGAGCGAAAGGAAAGTCTCCTGTGGCTGAGGCGCGGCCAGACCAAACGACTCCCTTCCGGCAACCGGTGGCCCGCGGTGTCCCGCCGGTGTCCCGCCTCCGGCTGAGGCTTGGGCGTTGCGTAATGGGGGGGTCATAAATGGGGGGGCGGCGAGGGTGGTCCGAAAAGGTACCCAAACGGTACCTAAACGAGCCCCCTGGAGCGCCGGGGGGGCCCGAAAGGGGCACGAAAGGGGACCGTTTCTGACCCCCCCATTTATGACCCCCCCACTAAGCCACGCCCAAGAGGCGCGGCCGGACCAAATGACTCCCTTCCGGGGGCCGGTGGCCCGCGGTGTCCCGCTGGTGTCCCGCCAGTGTCGCGTCGGTGTCCCGATGATGATGATGATGATGATGATGATGATGATGATGATGATGATGATGATGATGATGATGATGATGATGATGATGATGATGATGATGATGATGATGATGATGATGATGATGATGATGATGTCGCTGCTGATGATGATGATGGTGATGGTGATGATGGTGATGATGATGGTGTCCCGATGATGATGATGATTGTGATGATGCTGATGTTGCTGATGATGGTGATGGTCCCCTGGTGATGATGATGTTGATGATGTTGCTTATGATGATGATGAGATGGTGATGTTGATGATGGTGGTGGTGGTGTTCCGATGGTGGTGATGGTGTCCCTATGATGATGGTGTTGATGGTGATGGTGGCGATGATGGTGTCCCGATGATGGTGATGATGGTGATGATGATGTTGATGATGGTGATGAGGTGATGATGGTGATGATGACGGTGTCCCGATGATGACGATGAGGTGGATGACGTTGATGACGATGGTGTTGATGATGATGACGCTGATTGTGATATCGATTGTGATTTCGATAGTGAGGTCGATAGTGAGACCGAATGTGAGATCGATTGTGAGATCGATAGCGAGATCGAGTGTGAGATCGATCGTCAGATCGATTGCGAGATCGATCGAATGAAATAGAACGAGTGAGATCGATTGTGAGATCGACCGGGTGAGATCGATCGAGCGAGACTGATAGTGAGATCGATAGTGAGATCGATAGTGAGATCGATAGTGAGACCGATCGAGTGAGACGTTGGTTCCTCCCCCCCCCGAACCTCCTTATCACCCGAAGGGTGGTCGTATAGGTAGGTATATCGGAGGTTGGGGGGTGAGTCCGACGTGAAACGGAGACCCCCCTACCAGCAGGAAACCCGGAAATCGATTTCGGTTTTGGGTTCGTGTCGTGCGTGCCGTGCGTGCGTGCGGGCGGGCGAGGCGAAGCTGCGTGGGCGGGCGAGAAGAAATCCTCGTGTGGCTGGGCCGCGGCCAGACCAAATGTTTCTCCTCCGGCGGCCAGTGGCCCGCGGTGTCCCGTTGGTGTCTCGAAATCCTCCTGTGGCTGGGCCGCGGCCAGACCAAATGTTTCTCCTCCGGCGGCCAGTGGCCCGCGGTGTCCCGCTGGTGTCCCGCTGGTGTCCCGAAATCTTCCTGTGGCTGGACCGCGGCCAGACCAAATGATTCTCCTCCAGCGGCCGGTGGCGCGCGGTGTCCCGCCGATGTCCCGCTGGTGTCCCGAAATCCTCCTGTGGCTGGGCCGCGGCCGGACCAAATGATGCTCCTCCCGTCAAACGGTGGCCCGCGGTGTCCCGCTGGTGTCCCGCCGTGAATTGCGCATTTCAAAACATCGCCGCTTGCGGCGAGCTACAATGCAAGTCTGCATGCAAACCGACA